GATAGATTTTATGAGTGCTTAAGCTTAAAAAAGTGATTTTTCTTTAAAGGATGAATTAAAATAGAAAGAGATGTTATACTTTTGTGACCATGGATCAATAACAAGTCATTTTTTGTAAAGGTAAAACAAAAAACTACTTTGGAAATCACTTTTTATTCTAAGGCAGTGGGTCTCGAGACTTTTGATGAGGTTCCAATAACAAGTACACTTTACATTGCAGTTTGCTGCACACAAGAACACAAACACCTGAAACAAGTTCCAGGAACTTACCAGTTATTTCGGTACAGTCTTACCTGATGTTTTCTGTTTGCGTCTTGTTCTCTTAAAATGCTTTTTTCTCCTAAAATGATTTGACTTCAGGACTGATGGATTGAAAACCATTGTTGTAGATGTTTACTATCTAGGTGACTAGTGAAAAGAGTTATGCCAGCTATTTTGGGTTTCTCAAAACTCAGAGTTCAACTGCACTTTGAAGTGCCTAATAAGAAACTTGCTGAATTCTAGAAAGTTAGCTAATTTTTCATTATCTCTACATTGGCCAGAACAATATGACTTCTGCAGGGTAAAAATGGAAGTATAGACAACTTGATAGAGCTCTAAATAATGTAGTAAGTTGTCTGAAAGTCTCTGATTTCCCTGAGAAAATGGTTTTGTCCCCTTTAAGTAGTATAAATCTTAGGGTGTCAATAATTTCATGTTGGTTTCTATTTTAAAGTTCTTCCTCACCTGGAACTTATGTGTTTCTCCCTATTTTGATGTGCAGGTTTGTTACAAAGTAGCACTGGATTTTTGTGGTTTAAGTTGTTTCCTCATCTGCAAGAGTAAGAGGATTAGATGAGATCATCTCAAAGGTGTGGTAATTTCCATTCTCTGAAGTACTGTTGATCCTTGACTCTTCAGAAAGTTAATTTTACAGACCTCATATTTCAGGAATACCCTTGTTTTGGTCTTAGACAGTTGCTGCTATAAGGAAGAAAAGTATTTTGGGGGTAGGCTTACCAGTATTTAGCAGAACGAAGTTGATGATTAAGAAAGTGGAAGAAATAATGGCTGCCATGCATTGGGGAGTTGTGCATCTGTCACTTGGAGCAATCTTGAGAGAAAGGTATTGTCGCTCCTATTTTACAGGTGAGGAAGCTGAAGTTCAGGGAGGGGAAGTAACTGGCACAGCCAGGATTTAAAACCCAGTTTTAAAAACCTGTATTTTAACCTATATGCTATTTGGAGAAATGGGTGATCGTCCTCCCGATTCTAGTTTTTGATACACAGGAGAGTTGGTTTAGCTTTGACATTTAAGTACTTTGAGGAAATAAGAATATTTCTTTGTTTTCAGCTAGAAGTAGAACTTCCTGTGCCCTTAGACTTAAATGTTACTCTTAAGTGTTGCACTTCTGTTTCAATGTATCTTCTCAGTTTCAAGTTTGCATAGAAGTAAGTTCATCAAAAATGTATTTCAACCCTAAATAAGGCAAATCTCTAAGTAGTGGGAAATAGTATGCTTAGAGGAAGCATCTTTAGATGGCAGAAAATGAACCAAATTATTATAAACCATTATAATGAGTTATTGTGAATGACCCTTGTTATTACAGATCTTTTATTTAAATTATTTTTCTTTTCCCTTTTCCGCATTTATAGATGGACACTTTCTTAAACTTTTTGATACTTTTTTTTCCCACTAGTTACTCTTAAGACAAGATTGCTTTCATAGTCATATTTTGCTTTACTTGGATTTTACAGTTTTTGTGATAAATGACATGTATTATGTAAGATAATACTGGCCACGTTCGCATAATTGAAAGTTAAAATATTATGTTTCAAGAGGAGGAGTAGTCTTTCAATTTAATTTTGAAAATTTTAAATTTAATTGCTTTTATGATGTTAGCATGGTCTACACGGCATTTTTGTAGTTCTCCTTCATTGGAAAACAGAATAGAAAAAAATTACTAAATAATTGCCTTGTAAATTTCTTAAAGTTTTTTAGTTTGTAGAAAACTAAATTTTCCTTTGTCATCAAGGGCAGTGGGATTAAATGTCTGATAGGTTGAACACTCCAGTGGCACAGACCTCCTCTCTACTGATGCTCTTTCCCACCCGAATCCTTTGCAGATGGCAAGTCCGTTCCCTCATCAAACGCCTTTCTTGAATTTGGTGCTCCAAATTAAGGAGAGACAACCCCTGTCCTCAAAAAGCTCACATTTAGTAGATTATATAGTATCAAGGGATTAAAATTGCTTAGAGGAGGTGAGGTTGTATGTCGCATGAGCAAGAGTGGTATGAATAGCATTCTAAGCCAAGGAGCAGGCGGCACAACCAGGTTGTAAGCAGCAGCATGATTGGTGAGGTTACAGACCTCCTGGGTTGCTTGATGGTTAAGTGGCAAGAGATGAAATCTTAAAAGACTTGAAGGAGATTGGCTTTTATCCCCTGAAGTATCTTCTAAAACTAGGTTTCTAACAGAGCTCTTGAATTTGGCTCTAAGGGCTAAAGTTTCAGAAAACATCGGAGTGCCTACTTTTTACCTTGTTCTGCACCAGAAATGTGGACATGACATCACTGAGGAAAACAAACGGTCCAGCAATGTGTGTTAAAATGTGTGCTGTGCAAAAGGATAGTTGACCATTTCCAACTGAAAAAGTCTTTTATTAAACTTGGTTTGGTTTGGGGTTTTTTTGGTCGGGGAAGGTAATCAGGTTGGTTTGTTTTTTATTTATTTTGATGGTGGTACTGGGGATTGAACCCAGGACTTCATGCGTGGTAGGCAAGCACTCTACCACTGAGCTATACCCTCCCCCTTTTTTTTTTTATTAAACTTTGATAATTTAATTTTATAGGGTAATTTTTTAGATCTGTCAAGCAACTTAGGTCATTAGTTCCAACAGAGGAAGAACCGAGACCCAGAGAAATGAAGTGATTTGCTTGAAGTTCTAGAAGCAGAACCCAGCATTCTTACTAACAGATTTTGTACTTTTTACTATAACATAATTTCTGCAGTGTTTCTAGTGATAGACTAAGGAAGTAATTATCATTAGCAAACTATCACAAAGTTCTTTATGTTGATCCCACACTTCATCTGATCACCAAAGCTAACATGTTTTTTCTTTTGCAAGTTAAAAATCCTAGTTTATTCAGTTGTTTTTCATGTGATATACACTTCAACATTATACTTACCCTTCTTTATGTAGTCTTGTAGGATGTATCTATTGATATTTGGTACCCAAAAATTGTGCCAGTATTTTAGTTGTGATTTCCACTAGCTTGGCTAACCTAAAATTACCGTGCCTCCAATTTCAGAATGTGTACATTAATTATTTGAAATTAAAATTTAAAACTCCCTCTTCTGGATACCTTCCCCTGGTTCCATGTCCCATTTTCCTTGATCCTAAGTAATGCAGAAAATGGTCGTCTTTACATTGTGATCGTAATACTGTTTTTCATGGCATCTGTCATTAAACATCACTATTTTGCTGGAATATAATAAGCATTTGATTATCAGCCCCCAAAATAAGCTTTTTGAGAAAAAAAATTTTATTCTTTTTTTAATTGTAAAAATAACATAAAATTTACCATCTTAATCATTTTAAAATGTACAGTTCAGTAGCATTAACTACATTCACGTTTTTGTGCACCCAAATCTCCGGAACTCTCCTGTTACAAAACTGAAGCTGTTAAGTACCAATGACTCTCCATTCCCACGACTCCACTCCCAGCAACCACCATCCTACGTTTTGTCTCTGAATTTGACTACTCTAGGTAACTCATAAACGTGGAATAAGAGTGATATTTTAAAAATTAACTTTCCTAATAGAATGGTATCTTTGATATATAAACTCAGTTTCTTATAATAAAACATAGTTGCAACATATTTTATGGTTTTACATCTTGACTCATTGAGGCGATAACATGAGAAGATGGTTCATTGTTGGTAGACTAAAGAAAAACAGAAGGCACAATTCCTTAAGAGCCTTTCTTTTTTTCTCTCTCTCTCTTAAATCAAGGGTGAGGCTCTACTTTCCTCCACATCTCAGCCCCAAGCATGTGTTCAGAATTCACCCCTACCCTGTCATTTTTGCATATTATATAGAAGTCATAACTATACTTGAATTCTGACTATCTTGTTTTTGCATTTAAATGGTATTTTCATCTGTAAAACCGGGAATGTTCCTCTGCTCAGGTTAAGTGCAGTTGGTGGCCTGTTTCTCTTAGTTCTTTCAGTTCACTTACTCAGTTTCCATTCAGTTACAGTGCCTCTAAGTCTCTCTTAAATGCTAGACTGTTTGGATACTAACATGGAAGTTTTCATATCTTTCTAGGGGAGGAATTTTAAACTTCTAAGTTTAGACTATAAGGTAGGAAAATTAAGATTTGTTTGAGATACTAAAGAAGCTTTACCTAGTAAGAAGTACTTAAAAATCTTTGAATCGAGTAGATACATAAATTTGTACCTTTAATAAATGCTCATTAATAAAAAACATGTTTTGAATGAATCAATTTTTTCCATCCCCTTCTATGTAAGACTTGACTGTCACCACGGTTTATATATTATAATTAACTGTATTATATTTGAGTCACTTTGACATGAAAAAAAACTCAGTAATAACCTTGCTTATCAGGTGCAGGTGTATGTGCGTGTGTAGCAGTAAAAATAACATTTACAGTTTGGGTTTGTGTGATATTGTCTCTTTATAATGAATATACATGGTAGTTTGATTTATTTTACTCTCTTATGTACTCGTGGAAGGTGGAAAGTTGTTTTGTGGGAAAGGATAGTGCTTGAGCCATCCCTGAGATGAGCAATATGAGAATTGTAGTTTGAAATACTTTCGGTTTAAGCTGCACTTTCCTGTAAAAAAGTGACAGTTTTTGGCTGATGGTAGGGGCTTACTGAAAAATACTTTTCAGAGAGCTAGTTCTAATTCTGTTCATGAAGTAAATGTGGGTTCTGATACCTTATAAAAATCCTACGTTTTTGTGATCTTAATTAGAATCTCTTCTTTCTACAGAAATAGGAAGGTCGTTGATTATTCACAGTTTCAGGAATCTGACGATGCTGGTAAGTTTTGCGGTTTCAATAAAATGTAAGTTGGCCTGACTAGTGGAAGAATAGCCAGCTTATATACTTTTTCATTATTCTTTTGGAATAAGTTTTATTTTTTATTTTTAGACTATTGATGTATGTGAATTATGTCAGTCTGTGTCACCCAAAACAAAAGCTGAACTTGCATGGATTTTAACTTTTCCTTAGTAAATTATTGATAATAAACATTTGAATACTTCATTTTTTCCTTATCTGGTTTTGGAGTTCAGAGTTGAAGTGTGTGACAGTTCTGCTGCAATGTTTATCAGTTGATGTATCTCCTGCTATAATCACAGTAAAACCCATACTTTGTAATAGGGAGTATATAAGTTTTTTGCATAATGAAGTAAGATGAAACTATTTTGTAAAACACCTTTGATTTGTGAACTCAGAATGAGTAGTGTATCTTAAATCTTAGCCATAAAAATTTTCTTTAGAATATGTCCTTTCACTTTCCAGATGTATTTACTATTCTTTTTTCTTTCTTTTTTAAGCCTAATTTTATTTTATAAAAATAATATTATGCACTTTGGGAAAACTTAGAAAAGATATGTATAAAGAAGAATTTAAAAAATAACATAATCCAACCTCCCAGAGTTAATACTAATATTTATTAAATGCTTGCTAAATGTTTGCAGTTACCCATTTAATCCTTAGGTCAGTCCTGTTAAAATGGGACTATATGTATATATTGTTGTTTTCATTTTACAGATAAGGGAACTGAGGCAGAAATATTACTCAAGGCCCCTTAGCCAGCAAATGGCCATTTTAACCTTTTTATTTAAAAAGCCTTTTGTCCTTTTTTTCCTTTTAAAAATATAGTTGACGTCTTGCTATAGAATTTTGGATTTCGTGTCCCTCGTACCCCTCCTTTTCCTTTCTTGTGTTACTAAAAGTTTATGGTTGCTAATGGTTGTATGATATTCCATAATTTATAATTATTCAACCATTTAATAATTGCTGAAGCTTCAAAATATTCTAGATCCTCATGATTATATATAGTGGTGTAAGAAACTAGTTTTTCACTATACCTTTTTTAAACTATAGTTTTTTACTACACCTTTTAAGGCAGAGTTATTTTTCTTTTGTTTCGTAGAGCTTTTGAGATTGGAGATATTTTCACCAAATGTCAGAGTATGCTATGTATAATACTTTAGTTTAAGTGTAATTTAATTGATAGCTGTGTTAGGAATATAGAATTGTGGGTTCTTTACATTCTAAAATACTTGTAATATAACCATATTACTATAATAGTTTCCAAATAGACATGAAGATATGGAAACATGTAAAAATGTTTAACAAATTAAAAGGGTAAAAAAAAATTAAAAGGGTAGAATATAAAATAAGAGATATTTGGCTGCAGGTAGATTAAAATATACACATGAGGACTGGGGGGTAATATGCAAAAATTGGAAATGATTGAGTTATGGTAGAATGGGTAGGAAAGAATTTTTTTTTAAATGAAAAAAGTATTTAGGAAATCCTGACCTCACTTTTTAAATCACATGAGAAAATTATCTCAGTAAATATCGGTGGTAGTTTTGACATGTAAAAATCATAGTACAGTTCACTGAATTTGAAAAATACTCTGTTTAGATGAAGATTATGGAAGAGATTCAGGCCCTCCAACTAAGAAAATTCGATCTTCTCCCCGAGAAGCTAAAAATAAGAGGCGATCTGGAAAGAATTCACAGGAAGATAGGTAAGAGGTGTCGTTAATGTGTTTCTTCTTATGCTGTCATGACTCCGAGAAGAGGGTTGTCTCTGATTTCTAAATGAGTAGAATCTCCAGTTACTTTGGGAAAGTGCTTACTGTCCACTCAGTGTTGTTTTGCATATTTCATAGCACCTCAGGCAGGGCCTCTGAGTCTCGAGGTTAGCCTCTTGGAGGTCCTGAGGCTTGCTTGGACTCAGCCTGGAATCCAAGGTGAGCTCCAAGAATGCTGGAATGCCTTTGTTGCTACATCGAACCTTTGAACAGAGACAGAAAGACTGTTTAAGTATGTGGCTTGTTACCTAAGAGTAGTACTGACATCTACATTGTGTGATGGCAAAGAATAAGTGACCTTTTCTGCTCAGTCACAGATCACTGGCAGAATCATAGCTAAAGCTTAGTCTTAAGTTGCATTTCCTACTGGGTTTCACTGTCTGTAATCAATTCTACTTTGTTTAATTATTTTAAATATTTTGGACAGTTTCTTTTCCTTTATTTCTGTAAATGAATGCAGATGACTTAAGGCCTCATGAAACCAGGATATTGTAGTTTTCATCTCTGCTCTTAACAGGTATACACGTGACACTCTCATCCTCAGTGCAGTGTAACTTTAAGACCTCCATGATGGTGGTGGTGGTGGCAGCAATGGTAGTTACTGTTTATGATTACTAAGCGCCAATATCTCTGCGCTAATTTATATTCATTATCCTATGATTCTCACAACACCTTTATTAGGATAAGTAATATTAACTAAGAGGGGTCAGTGATTTATTCAAGGACCAGCAAATGGGCCAACAGTTTTTAAAACCATATCTGCTGGACTCCAAAGTCCGTTTTCTAACTATTAGGCAATACCACTTCCAAACAATGCTATTAAGAATAAGCGGTTAAGAAATGATAATAATTGTTGCTAGTTCTTCTAAGATACTTACTTTCAAGCACTAAAATCACTATCATAAAGCCCTAGGCAAAAGTCTTTCATTCTGAATTCACAGAATGCTAAATTTGTTGAAATAACAATAATAAATGCGTTTACCTAGTATTTTCTGCTTGCTTTAATCACTAACCTCTGATATTTTCTTTCCTGAAGAATTTCAGAAATGTGGTTTTGAGGAAAAAGTAAGACAAAATTATACTTTTGGGAGACAACTCTTCCATAGTTTCATACTATATCTCTCTAATCCAGTTTTATACAGCAGTCCAACTTAGAACTATCTTTCATTATATTCGTTTATTATATTTCTCCTAGGAATGAGCTTCTTTATGGCCTGTTATAATGTCTCATTGATGTGATTGATATCTAGCCTGAATTTTTCCCTGTCGCTTAATCATGTGGTTTTTCACTCTCTCCAAAGTGTCCAAGAATGATTGAAATAAATACAACTTTCATTGCCATTTATATTAAGTAGCTTGTATGCTTATTCCCTCAGATCCGTATTATGTTGATTTTTCTCTTGGGCTCTACTTAAAAGTTCAGCTTTTACTTGACCTTACTGTAACAGGGCTCAAGGATTAGTGGTCTCTATAAATTCAATAATAAAAGAACTAGAGAAAGTGGTACAGTTCTTCATCATTGTAATAGACTTGTGAATTAAATGCTTATTTTGCATAAAATATTTACATAGGATAGTCACAGGTTCAGAATTCTGGTGTGTTTGGATCACATTACTTACTAAAGAAATGTGTTTGATTTTTTGATTTTTCTCTTTGTCTGGGAATCTTGGATTCAATAGTTTGTTGTTTGAGTGCCGTCTAGATTATGGGAATACCAAAAGAGATTTACCAGATCTGTTGTTTGAGAAAAGAAAGCTATGAAGGCAGTTTTTAAGTATGACTGTTTTCGTTTTTGTTTGTCAAAATTTCTCATGGAATCATAAAATTTTAGCACTGAAGAATACCAAATGATCTGCCTAAGATCATACAACTAATTAATTTATGACAAAGATGGAACACTAGAACCCAGATTTCCAAGTTAAGATTTGTGAGGATATAAAATGTGCATTTTTGTGACCTAAAAAGTTATTTTGTAAAATTTTCCATTGAACTTTGAATCTCCTTACCTTCTTATTTTACTTTGCAGTGACCTTTAGCTCACTTTTATTTTCTCCATGATAGTAGTCAGGTCTGTGTGTTGAGGTTTTTGATGTATAGAAATATTGGAGGCAGAAAATATTAGGAAATAATGTTAATTGATTTGTTTTCATTTTGTTTTAGATAAATTTTTTGGCATATTGTAATCTTTATAACTGAACTCCATTTTCTTTAATAATTATATTTTAGATTTTTTTGCATCTATATCTGGTGCTGTCCATGTATTTGCCTGCTTTACCACCACTGATATATTATGTGACTTACTTTCAGTATAGTTATACTCTGCCTCTTACAGCACAGACTTTTGTTCTTATTAAATTTCTTGTGAACCAGGCCTTATCCATAGGTGAGAAGTTTTTAACCTCTGTTGAGATATCTTATTTTTTTCCTTTGGGTCTCTCTCTGGAAGAAGCAGTGTTTTCCAAAAGTAGATGAAACTGTTCAAAAAACAGATAAATTATTCACCAGCATCCCTGTGAAGTAGGGGAATAATGGAAGCAATTTCACCCCTCAGCATCTGTTTAAATATTTTATATATAAAAGAGGTTTTCTTTGGTGTTCTTCTACAGTCAGATGCCAGAGATCTGTGTTCTCTGAGATGTTGACCTAAGACTTTTAAACTTTTCCCCCTCCCCCTTTATAGTGAGGACTCAGAAGAAAAAGATGTGAAGACCAAGAAGGATGATTCTCACTCAGCAGGTACAATTTTTAACATAATAATTGTAATTCTTATTTATATACTTATTCATTAGACATTTTGATAAGTTTATAATAATGCCAGGCACTGTTGTAAATACTGCATTACACACGTTACATGTTCCATCTTCAAAGAGCTCAAAGTGATTCTCAGTCCTGGTGGCTTATTACAGTTTCCTGTGAAGGTTTTTTTTTTTTTTTTTTTTTAACATATTCCATCCCATCCCAGGACTTCTGATTCAGTGGGTCCAGATGGGATGTGGAGGCTTGGATTTTTAAAAGTACTTACACATTGTTCTGATGCATAGTCAAGATTGAAAACCATTTACATGAACAAATAAAGGATATCAAATTAAATAGAATAATACGAACATATATACAGTACTAAGTGAAATCGAGATATAAAAAAGGGGGAGTGATGACCCTGGGGGTTAAAAAGCAAACAACAGTTAATGTCAGTCCTACTCTTTTTAGCTGAAAGTAGTTCTTTGAAACAGTAACCATGGAGAAAGCTTTTTTATAAGAATTTTAACTTAAAAGAATTAATGAGATTTCTGGTCAAAATAGTGGAGTAGTAGAACCATGAGCTCACCTCTCCTTGTGACTGCAGCAAAACCACAGCTGACTGCTAAACAACCATCAGGATAAAAAGACTGGAACCTAGCAAAAAAGATCTCCAACTGGAAACCTAAAGAGGGAACCACAGCAGGATGGTAGGAGAGGCATGCTTGCAATATAATCGGGCCCCATACCCCCTGGGTGGGCAACCCACAAGCTGAGGAATAATTAAGTTGCAGAGGCCCTCCCACAGGAGTGAGAGTTCTAAGCCCCATGTCCCCAGCCCAGGATTCTAGCACTGGGAGGAGGAGGAGACCCCAAAACATCTGGTTTTGAAGACCAGTGGGGCTTAACTCCAGGAGCCCCACAGTACTGGGACTAGCTGGACCCTGACCCTTGGGTGACAAGAGAGGAATGTCCTGCTGGGATGCATAGGACGTCTCCCAAAGAGGGCTACCTCTCCCAGGTAGAGAAAGATAACTAACCTACCTAAAAATACAAGTAGAAGGATAGACAATATGAGGCAGCAGAGGAGTATTTCCCAGGCTAAGGCACAAGGTAAAATCCCAAAAGAAGAAATAAGTGATGAGGAGATAGGCAGTTTTTCTGAGAAAGAGTTTAAAGTAATGATGGCAAAGATGTTCAGAGAACTCAAGAGGAGTAAAGAAGCACAGAGTGAAGTTTTTTAGCAAAGAGTTGGAAAAT